CCAGGGAAAGCACATTGAGGGGTTGGGTGGCACAGTGGGATCACCAGGAATGCCAGGAATGTACAGGGAAATGGTGCCCACATCCAGGGAAAGCAGGTGGAGATGTTGGGTGGCACAGGAGATCACCAGGAATTTCCAAGGAAAGCAGGTGGAGGGTTTGGGTGGCACACTGGGATCACCAGGAATGCCAGGAATGTACAGGGAAATGGTGCCCATATCCAGGGAAAGCAGGTGGAGAGGTTGGGTGGCACAGGGGATCACCAGGAATTTCCAAGGAAAGCAGGTGGAGGGGTTGGCTGGCACATCAGGATCACCAGGAATGCCAGGAATTTCCAAGGAAAGCAGGTAGAGCAGCTGGGTGGCACAGGGAATCACCAGGAATATCAGGAATTTAAAGAGAATGCTCTGCTCACATCCAGGGAAAGCAGGTGGAGAGGTTGGGTGGCACAGCAGGATCACCAGGAATTTCTAGGGAAAGCAGGTGAAGGGTTTGGGTGTCACAGAGATATCACCTGGAATTTCCAGGGAATGCTCTGCTCACATCCAAAGAAAGCAGGTGGAGAGGTTGGGTGGCACAGAGGGATCACCAGGAATACCAGGGATTTCCAGGGAAAACCCTGCTCACATTGGTTGGGTGGCACAGGGAGATCACCAGGAATCCACAGAGGATCCACAGGGGATCACCAGGAATTTCCAGGGAAAGCAGGTGGAGGGGTTGGGTGGCCCAGAGGGATCACCAGGAATATCAGGAATTTCCAAGGAAAGCCCTGCTCACATCCAGGGAAAGCAGGTGGAGAGGTTGGGTGGCACAGCAGGATCACCAGGAATTTCTAGGGAACGCAGGTGAAGGGTTTGGGTGTCACAGAGATATCACCTGGAATTTCCAGGGAATGCCCTGACCATATCCAGGGAAAGCACATTGAGGGGTTGGGTGGCACAGAGAGATCACCAGGAATTTCTAGGGAAAGCAGGTGAATGGGGTTGGATGGCACATCAGGATCACCAGGAATGCCAGGAATTTCCAAGGAAAGCAGGTAGAGCAGTTGGGTGGCACAGGGAATCACCAGGAATATCAGGAATTTAAAGAGAATGCTCTGCTCACATNCCATAGGGATAACAGGGTGGGATTGGGATGGAGCTGTCACCCCCTGTCCCACAGAATTCCATAGGGATAACAGGGTGGGATTGGGATGGAGCTGTTATCCCCATCCCAAACAATTCCATAGGGTGGGACTGGGATGGAGATGTCACCCTCCTGTCCCACACAATTCCATAGGGATAACAGGGTGGGACTGGGATGGAGCTGTCACCCCCTTGAGCCCCTCCCTGTGCCACACAATTCCACAGGGATAACAGGATTAGGATGGAGCTGTTATCCCCATCCCAAACAATTCCATAGGGTGGGACTGGGATGGAGCTGTCACCCCCTTGAGCCCCTCCCTGTCCCACACAATTCCATAGGGATAACAGGATTGGGATGGAACTGTCACCCCCATGAGTTCCCCCTGTCCCACACAATTCCATGGGGAGAATGGGATTGGGATGGAACTGTTATCCCCATCCCAAACAATTCCACAGGGATACCAGGCTGGGATTGGGATGGACGTGTCACACCCCTGCCCCACAGAATTCCACAGGGATAACAGGATTAGGATGGAGCCGTTATCCCCATCCCAAACTATTCCATAGGGTGGGATTGGGATGGAGCTGTCACCCCCTGTCCTACAGAATTCCATAGGGATAAAAGGATTGGGATGGAGCTGTTATCCCCATGAGTCCCCCCCTGTCCCAAATAATTCCATAGGGAGAACAGGCTAGGATTGGGACAGAGCTGTCACCCAGTCCCCCATCCCACACAATTCCATAGGGTGGCATTGGGATGGAGCTGTTATCCCCATCCCAAACAATTCTATAGGGTGGGATTGGGATGGAGCTGTCACCCCCCTGTCCCACACAATTCCATAGGGATACCAAGATTGGGATGGAGCTGTTATCCCCATCCCAAACAATTCCATAGGGATACCAGGACCGGGATGGAGCTGTCACCCCCCTGCCCCACACAATTCCATAGGGATGGAGCTGTCCCCCCTGGAGCCCCTCCCCATCCCAAACAATTCCATAGGGATACCAGGATTGGGATGGAGCTGTCACCCTCTGTCCCACACAATTCCATAGGGATGGAGCTGTCCCCCCTGGAGCCCCTCCCCATCCCAAACAATTCCATAGGGATACCAGGACCGGGATGGAGCTGTCACCCCCGTGTCCCCCACAATTCCATAGGGTGGCATTGGGATGGAGCTGTTATCCCCATCCCAAACAATTCCATAGGGTGGGACTGGAATGGAGCTGTCACCTCCTGTCCCACACAATTCCATAGGGATACCAAGATTGGGATGGAGCTGTTATCCCCATCCCAAACAATTCCATAGGGATACCGGGATCGGGATGGAGCCGTTATCCCCATCCCAAACAATTCCATAGGGTGGGACTGGGATGGAGCTGTCACCCCCTGTCCCAAGCAATTCCATAGGGATAACAGGCTAGGATTGGGATGGAGCTGTCCCCCCTGGAGCCCCTCCCCGTCCCACACAATTCCATAGGGATAACAAGACTGGGATGGAGCTGTTATCCCCATCCCAAACAATTCCATAGGGATGGAGCTGTGCCCCCCGGAGCCCCTCCCCATCCCAAACAATTCCATAGGGTGGGATTGGGATGGAGCTGTCACCCCCCTGTCCCACACAATTCCATAGGGATGGAGCCGTCCCCCCCGGAGCCCCTCCCTGTCCCCGCAGCTCCGCAGCAGGGCCGGGGCTGGAATTGCCCAATTCCCGCCTCAATTCCCGCAATCCTGCGCCGGTTCCCGCTCAGGTGGAGTCATCCAGGCCCTTGTGGGGGTGCTCGGGGGGCGGCCGGCAGAGCCTGTCCATGATTCCCTGCAGCATGGGCTGCACGATCCCCAGCAGGGGCCGCTGCGAGGAGTCCCCGTCCCAGCACGCCTCCATCAGCTGCCAGCACTCCTCGTCAAACACCGGGAGCCGCTCCGGCCGCACCCCTGCAAACACAGCGGGCTCACCGGGAATGAACAGGGAAAACCCTGCCCACAGCCAGGGAAAGCACTTTGAGGGGTTGGGTGGCACAGTGAGATCACCAGGAATTTCCAGGGAATGCCCTGACCATATCCAGGGAAAGCACATTGAGGGGTTGGGTGGCACAGTGGGATCACCAGGAATGCCAGGAATTTCCAGGGAAAACCCTGCTCACATTGGTTGGGTGGCACAGGGAGATCACCAGGAATCCACAGAGGATCCACAGGGGATCACCAGGAATTTCCA